TCCTGTCTTCACACTGTGGAGGAGCACCCTTCATCAGGACAGTTATTTCTTGCCCTGCCTCCTCAGGTGGGTGCAGCACAGCTCCTTTTCTGGTCTGGTGGTTTGCTGGGTTTTTTGGACTATCATCAAGACTCTGGGCTCAGGCACTCCCATCTCCTGCCCAGTCTGGGACCCTTTTATTTCCTTCTTGGAGCCTTGTCCTCCAGAAGATGTGGGTTCAGTTTAACATATTCTCTTGTGTCTTTGAATATATTTGCATGCTTGTATAACCTCTGCCCATAGTTCAACACCTTCACTGTTCTAGGTGTTATTTTTTGTTAAACTGGTTCAGGTTTTTCTCAACCTCACAACCTCTCTCCCTGGTTCCCCTGTCATACTCCCCTGGGAGGGTGCTGGGAGGATCACAGAGAGTGTTTGTCAGAGTTTAGTGACCGGCCCAGCCTTAAATTTCAACAGGGGGATAGAGTGGGTGGCGAGGGGACATCTGAGAGCGGGACAGCGCCTATGGGGAAAGAGCATGAGGGGTCAAGAACGGGACCTGAAACCCAGAACCCTGCCTCCAGCTCCAAGGCCCCAGGGAGCTGCTGGCAGGAGAGGAGACGTCCCTGCAAGCTCTGTTTCAGAGGAGGCAGCCGGGCGGATGCAGTGTGAGCATGAAGCACAGGGTGGCACTGGCCTTCCATCAGCTCGATACCGCGCTGGGGCTCTGCCAGGCGTGTGTGTGCAAGGAGGGAACCAGGACCTGTCACCGCTGAGACAGAATAAATGACACCCGTCAGGGACCTGGCGGTGCCTACCCTGCCAGCCTCCCTTCTCTCCCGCTGCCGTCCCACCAGCCCTGCTCCAGCAGAACAACACCCGAGCCTTCCCCAGAGCCTGGTGAAGAGCAGTGCACGGGCTCTTTCCAGAGGGTGAGGGCTTAGGGCTGCTTTAAAGCTGAAGCAGGATTTCTTCCCCCAAATCCCACCACCACCTCCTTTCTCCATCAAATCTCCCTGAGGAGAGCAGCCTCTGGCACGCAAAGGACACGAGCTCAGGCTTCACAGAGAAGTTTTATTGAAAGTGCCACAAACAGAGCTCAGGCAGCCAAGGCAGAGCTGCCCCTGTCACAGGAGGCCTGAGGGAACCACACGGCTACTGCGCCCTTCGGGCCATCAGCATTTCCCGGATGTTATCTTCTGCTTCCTTCACGCTCCGCTCCAGGTACGACTTCTTCTGCTGCAAGGCAAAGAAACCAGAGAAGAGTTAAGGTCCACCTTGGCACTGACAGCACGTGCCGGGGCTGAGAGCAGAGCTGCGAGCAGGCTGCTCTGGGCACGCGCTGCCCGGCAGGTTTCCCAAAGCAAGGGCAAGGGTTATTCATTTCCAGAGGCAGCCTGGAAGTGTTAATATTTAGCCTGGGCCATGTTTACACAGACTTTGAATTTTGTTCCCTCTGAAACCTTCTCAGAGCCGCTGGGGCTGTTGCAACAGCAGAGCTGCAAAAAGTGGGATACGTTAACTGTAGCAAGGCAGGAAAAGGAAATCAGATCCTGTAAGGCTTGGAGCCTAGAGAGGAATTAATACACTAAGGCCTCCTCGTGAAGACAACAGCAAAAACTTGGGGAAAAAAGGGCTCTTTTTCCCAGCTGGGACAGTTTTCTAAACCCAGACCCTCCTTTCTATCAGAAATTCCCTGGCATCATCACCAAATATGTGTGTTTCCTTAATCATCTCTAATTGGGCTAGGCTTGGCAGGGAAGCAGCCTGAAGCTGTGCATCCCAAGATAGGAATTCAGCGCACAGCGTTTTTTCCTGCTAGTCTAGGTGTTCCTTGGTGACTGGAAAAATCAGTGCTTGGCTCCTCTGACTATTTTCTTTGGGTTTCCAAACAACAGCCACAACAGTCTGCTGAGGAGGGCAGGCCGGCGGAAGGCATTGCTGGATCTGCGGGACACAGCCCTCCCTCAGCACTTTGCCGCCCAAGGGCATTGCCCTCACGGGCTGGGACACCGTGGGAGAGGCTCCTCAGAGTCAGATTCATGCAAGACCATGGGGAGCACCACTGGGAGCACACCTGGGGCTCAATGGATGGTACCTGCTGCCCTCACAGGCTCCCCTTCTTGGCAAAGCTTGCTGGGCACCACTGTGGCACAATTCTCCTGCTGCCCCAGAGAAGTGTCAGCCACGCACCAAGTACCTTCCTGCAGGCGTGGGGAGCTCAACAGAGCTTAGTCCCTGGGCCAAGATACCAATAAGCATTGGCAGGACGATTAATAAATGCCAGGAATCCATCCTGCCTTGCACTCCATTAATTGCCTCCCCAGGAATGACTGCTGGAGCCTGGTATGGCTTCAATGACTTCCAAAGGCCACCAAAGCCAAGGACAGCTAAAGAGGGGACAGGGGAGATCCTCAGCACTGCTTTGCCATGCAGGGAGGCTGGAATACGAACGGTGCTCTGGGGGTTTCCCCTAGCTGGCCTGCCCTGAGCAATGCCCTCCTGTTGCGGGTGCAAGCCCAGGGAGTTTGTGTGTGAGCCAGAGGACGTGGCCAGCAACCGGCAAGCTGATGCTCTCCTGACAACCTCCCTCTGACTCCTGCAAGCCCCCAGGGAACTGGGAACCACCAGGCTGACAGAAAACTCATTAGTCGATGGGACAGTCCTGCCACCATCACTTCCTCTGCCCATCCTGCTCTGTCCCTTTGCAGCTGACCTGCGGTGACGCTTCTGCACACTCAGCTGAAATGCCCTTGCCATGAGAACATCTCCTCAGCTCCCTTCCTCAATACTGAAGGGCTTTTATTTAAACAGTAAAAGGTGTCAGCGACTGCTAGAGCTGTGGGTACAGCAAAGGGCTCCTTGTCCCTCTCACACGGTCCCCAGGCACGTGGGATCCCGCTCGCTTACAAGAGCCGCTTTTCAGGAAACGGCTGAGAGAGGAGGCACAGCGTGGGTTCCTGCTGCCAGCGACTCGCTGACGCACAAGCAGGACTTCTGCCACCACCACCGCGCTGTTCTCACGCTGCCCGGATGGACGTCGAAGGATTTCACATCTAGGGAACTGAATCTGAAGGTTGCAAAGGGAGACAGGTCCCAGAGAACCTGCCCGGGTCTAAGCTCCACCTCACTCTGAATGAAGGAGAGCAGCATCAGCAGAGCTAAGTTCTATGCATTCATTTATTTCTAAAACCTTTTTTTTCAATGCAATTAAATTAGTCTATGAAAGTGTTCTGACTTTCTGTCCTCTCACTTCCCCCTCTCACTCTCCAGGCTGCAAAGAGACATTTCCAGAGAGCAGTTCTCCATGGCAGCAACCTTGGAAGAGCTGGGCAGCCATGCAGGGCAGCCTCCACGTGCTGCAAAGGACAGCTCTGTTCTCCTACCACAAGTATTCCCAATATCCCCCACCAGTAAGCATTTGAGACCCACTTTCCCCAAGAAGAGGGGCCCTGAGCCCTAACATGGCTTGGCACAGTGCAGGAGCATTCACGGCTGCCATGGCCCAGGCGGATCCGTGCTGCCTTCCCTGGGGCAGCAGGGGTGCTGGAGCTACACACCTCAGGGCAAACGGACAGGGCTTCATGACATTTCTTTATTTAAGCATCACCTGCAGTCCCAGGCTGGTGAGGACTCAGGAAATCCGTATTTCCCTCAATCACTTTCCTTAGTCATGCAGTTTCTGGGTCAAGAGGATCTGGACTGGTCCTTATGCCTTTACTGCTTCTTCCCCAAAAAGAGACATCCCTGGGCTCAAGGAGCATCCCTTGAGCATTAAGGGAAACCCTGCACCTGCAGTGGGGAGGGACGCAAACTTCCCGAGCTCTCCCATGGGCTGGCAGCGCTGGAGCCAGCACAGCATCTGGCTCCCATTCCAACCATCCTGCCCAGATCGAGGGGGAGCGAGGAGCAGACGGTCGCTGCATTTTCCGAGACACGTGGTAGAAGCGAGGTGTTCCTTCCTGAGGAGCTGCAGCCTAGTTTCTGCTTTGGTAATCACGGGAGAAAGAGTAGGAGCTTGCGTGCAAACCCCTTCTCGCCACGATTACCGGGGTCTAGACAGGAAACTCCGTCTCTCCCGGGTGCGCCGTCCCAGGGAGCCACGCAGTGAGCAAGCCGGCTGACACGCGTTGCCGACTCACAGCAGCTCTCCGGAGCGCAGAGACATCCGACAGCGCAGCGCTGAAGTCACCCTGGATCCTGTTCCAGTCCAGCCGGATCTGCCAGGCTGGTGGTATCTGCTCCCCATGGGAGGAACAGCAGGGCAGCCTCCCAAACCCCACCTCCACACTTCCCTCAGCTCAGATGCTCTCATTTGATGGTGATTTGCAGCCCCAGTTAACCCTGTGTCCTCTGACACCACATTTTGGGCCAGCCTGTGGCTGCCAGGTTTTAGCTCATCACCCAATTAGCTGCATATATTTTCCTGTGAAGGTGTGTTAATTCTCCGTTGCCTGTGCCAAGGCACCTGCAGCTAGCAGCAAATTTCCAGTGGTGTACCAGGACTGCACTGCTGGTTTTGGTCCCTCCTGACATCAAAGGCTGCTGCTCTTTTCAGCCTTTGATATTGTTCCTATACCAGTAATTCCTGTGCTTACCGGTCAGGAGCCTGAGGG